TGTATAATGTGACCGGGTGGGGTGTCCTGCTGGGTGTCTTCGGCAGTATGTTTCAATGAGGTAGCACTATAAAGTTGGCATCAGTTCCGCGTTATCACAAGGAGACAAACACGAACAAACCGCAGCCTCCCAAAACACACGCATACACTACACGCATGCATCTTGCACACAGGGGAGGCCGTCCTTAAATGACAATAGCTGTTGCTAGGACGTTAAACAATACTAAACCAAACCAAAATTTCCTACCAGATTTAGACTAATAGTGGGGTTGGAAAACTTTCATACTTTTGGGAATCGAATTTAGTGTAAATTTGCATGAAATACCTAAATAAAACTTTGATAAAAAAACCTAATTAAATCTCTCACTAGAACTGTCAGCTACTGGCTAACTTATACCCCCGTTCCATACTTTGTTTTGAAGTTAAAGAAAATCATTTGTATAAGACAATGGTTGAGTATCAAGATCATAGATAAATGTTTTTATCATATAATCAGCAAGTAATAGTGCAGATCAAATGAATACATGGAAATCAGATAAGTTGTCTAACAAACAAACAAAATCTAAAATGTTCATAGAATCTAGTGGAAAAAAAAAAGATTGTTGTACTGTTTGTTTCTCCTTCACCATTTTTTAGCTCCCCTGCCCGAAGGGGCGAGTGAGCTTATGCCATGGCGCGGCGTCCGTCGTCCGTCGTCTGGCGTCAATATTTTACTTTAAACAACCTCTTCTCAATAACCAAAAGGCCAAGGGTACTGATATTGGACCTGTGGCATGCTGGGATGAACGGCTACCAAGGTTGTTCAAATAAATGACCTTGACCCATTTTCAAGGTTATAGGGGTCAAATGTCTTAAAATCTTCAAACAACTTCTTCTCATTAACCAAAAAGGCCAGGGTACTGATATTTGGCATGTAGCATGCTGGGATGAAGGGCTACCATGTTTGTTCAAATCAACGACCTTGACCAACTTTTAAGGTCACAGGGGTCAAATGTCTTAAAAACTTCTAATTACTCCTTCTCAATAACCAAAAGTCCCAGGGTACTGATATAGGGCCTGTAGCATGCTGGGATAAAGGGCTACCAAGTTTGTTCAAATGAATGACCTTAGCCCACTTTCAAGATCACAGGGGTCAAATGTCTTAAAATCTTTAATCAACTTCTTCTCAATAACTGAAGGGCCAATGATGCTAGAGAGACAGATGACACAACTTTGGAGATGCTGTTGTTTGTATGGTGGTTAATAGTTTGTTAAGTATGTTAGGGAGACAGGTGACAGATCCCCGGAGATGCTGTTGTTTGTATGGTGGTTAATAGGTTGTTAAGTATGGTAGGGAGACAGGTGACAGATCCCCGGATAAGCTGTTCTTTGTATTGTGGTTAATAGTTTAAGTATGGTAGGGAGACAGGTGACTGATCTCCGGAGATACCGTTGTTTGTATGGTGGTTAATAGGTTGTTAAGTATGGTAGGGAGACAGGTGACAGATATCCGGAGATGCTGTTCTTTGTATGGTGGTTAATAGTTTGTTAAGTATGTTAGGGAGACAGGTGACAGATCCCCGGAGATGCTGTTGTTTGTATGGTGGTTAATAATTTGTTAAGTATGGTAGGGACACAGGTGACAGATATCCGGAGATGCTGTACTTTGTATGGTGGTTAATAGTTTGTTAAGTATGGTAGGGAGACAGGTGACTGATCTCCGGAGATGCTGTTGTTTGTATGGTGGTTGATAGGTTGTTAAGTATGGTAGGGAGACAGGTGACAGATCCCCGGTGATGCTGTACTTTGTATGGTGGTTAATAGTTTGTTAAGTATGGTAGGGAGACAGGTGACAGATCCCCGGAGATGCTGTTGTTTGTATGGTGGTTAATAATTTGTTAAGTATGGTAGGGAGACAGGTGACAGATATCCGGAGAAGCTGTTCTTTGTATGGTGGTTAATAGTTTATTTAGTATGATAGGGAGACAGGTGACAGATCCCCGGTGATGCTGTACTTTGTATGGTGGTTAATAGTTTGTTAAGTATGGTTGGGAGACAGGTGACAGATCCCCGGAGATGCTGTTTTTTGTATGGTGGTTAATAGTTTGTTAAGTATGTTAGGGAGACAGGTGACAGATCCCCGGAGATGCTGTTTTTTGTATGGTGGTTAATAGTTTGTTAAGTATGTTAGGGAGACAGGTGACAGATCCCCGGAGATGCTGTTGTTTGTATGGTGGTTAATAGTTTGTTAAGTATGGTTGAGAAACAGGTGACAGATCCCCGGAGATGCTGTTGTTTGTATGGTGGTTAGTAGTTTGTTAAGTTTGTTAGGGAGACAGGTGACAGATCTCCGGAGATACTGTTGTTTGTATGGTGGTTAATAATTTGTTAAGTATGTTAGGGAGACAGGTGACAGATCCCCGGAGATGCTGTACTTTGAATGGTGGTTAATAGTTTGTTAAGTATGGTAGGGAGACAGGTGACAGATACCCGGAGATGCTGTTGTTTGTATGGTGGTTAATATTTTGTTAAGTATGTTAGGGAGACAGGTGACAGATCTCCGGAGATGCTGTACTTTGTATGGTGGTTAATAGTTTGTTAAGTATGGTAGGGAGACAGGTGACATATCCCTGGCGAAGCTGTTGTTTATATGGTCATATCGGAGCTCTGATCGATCATTTTGCCTAACAAAGACTAAGTTTATAGATTTTGACGTTCAATGTGCTCAACAACATCAGTTGTTAAAACAAGGACACTACAACGATGTACGCTATTGTCAACATATCAGGACAATATGGTTAAACAGGACAACATTTTGTCAGCATATCAGGAGACAGGTGACAGATATCCGGAGAAGCTGTTCTTTGTATGGTGGTTAATAATTTGTTAAGTATGTTAGGGAGACAGGTGACATATCCCTGGCGAAGCTGTTGTTTATATGGTCATATCGGAGCTCTGATCGATCATTTTGCCTAACAAAGACTAAGTTTATAGATTTTGACGTTCAATGTGCTCAACAACATCAGTTGTTAAAACAAGGACTCTACAACGATGTACGCTATTGTCTGCATATCAGTACAATATGGTTAAACAGGCCAACATTTTGTCAATATAAGTATGTTAGGGAGACAGGTGACATATCCCTGGCGAAGCTGTTGTTTATATGGTCATATCGGAGCTCTGATCGATCATTTTGCCTAACAAAGACTAAGTTTATAGATTTTGACGTTCAATGTGCTCATCAACATCAGTTGTTAAAACAAGGACTCTACAACGATGTACGCTATTGTCTGCATATCAGTACAATATGGTTAAACAGGACATCATTTTGTCAACATATTAGGACAAAATGGTTAAACAGGACAACCTTTTGTCAATATATCAGGACCAGAGGGGTAAACAGAACAACAATTTGTTAATATATCAGAACAAGATGGTTAAACAGAACAACAATTTGTCAATATTATCCGGAGAAGCTGTTCTTTGTATGGTGGTTAATAGGTTGTTAAGTATGGGAGGGAGACAGGTGACAGATATCCGGAGAAGCTGTTCTTTGTATGGTGGTTAATAATTTGTTAAGTATGTTAGGGAGACAGGTGACATATCCCTGGCGAAGCTGTTGTTTATATGGTCATATCGGAGCTCTGATCGATCATTTTGCCTAACAAAGACTAAGTTTATAGATTTTGACGTTCAATGTGCTCATCAACATCAGTTGTTAAAACAAGGACACTACAGCGATGTACGCTATTGTCAACATATCAGGACAATATGGTTTAACAGGACAACATTTTGTAAACATATCAGGACATTATGGTCAAACAGGACAACATTTTGTCAATATATCAGGACAAGATGGTTAAACAAAACAACATTTTGTCAACATATCAGGACAAGATGGTTAAACAGGACAACATTTTGTCAACATATCAGGACAAGATGGTTAAACAGGAAACATTTTGTCAATATATCAGGACAAGAAGGTTAAACAGAACAACAATTTGTTAATATATCAGAACAAGATGGTTAAACAGGACAACAATTTGTCAATATATCAGGACAAGATGGTTAAACAGGACAACATTTTATCAGCATATCAGGACAAGATGGTTAAACAGGACAACATTTTGTCAGCATATCAGGACAAGATGGTTAAACAGGACAACATTTTGTCAACATATTAGGACAAGATGGTTAAACAGGACAACATTTTGTCAATATATCAGGACAAGATGGTTAAACAGGAAACATTTTGTCAATATATCAGGACAAGATGGTTAAACAGGACAACATTTTGTCAACATATCAGGACAAGATGGTTAAACAGAACAACATTTTGTCAATATATCAGGACAAGATGGCTAAACAGGACAACATTTTGTCAATATATCAGGACAAGATGGTTAAACAGGACCTATTGTCAACATATCAGGACAATATGGTTAAACAGGACAACATCTTGTCAACATATCAGGACAAGATGGTTAAACAGGAAACATTTTGTCAATATATCAGGACAAGATGGTTAAACAGGACAACATTTTGTCAACATATTAGGACAAGATGGTTAAACAGGACAACATTTTGTCAGTATATCAGGACAAGATGGTTAAACAGGATAATGTAACAACGTACCATATCGTCAATATACAAAGACAAGCTCCAATCGAAATGTCGTCACAAAATGTGCAACATCATCGACTCCGGGGCAAGATCTGAACTTCAAGTCGATAACATAAATTACCACCTTGTTAACGCATAAACACAAGATCCAAGCTTGAACAAAAATTAAACATAGTATGAACGCACGCTGTTCACATATTTGTAACAAATGTTGTCCTCGTCTAAGTTAAAGAACAAACCTAGCTGGCAATAATGGAAACTGGTCCACGTGCCAGATGAGACCAGGCGTAATGCTATCTGATTTCTACCTTTTGAACATTAGGTTGCTTCTTCAGAATTTACAGCTTTATGCCGTTACTTTTTTTTCAGATGAGAATTGCAATATCCTTTTCACTTGGTTTAGTTATGATTTTTTTTCTTTTCTTTTAATATCGAAGATAAAATTCATAATATAACACGAAAGTCAGGTAGATAAACATCCGCTCGAGATGAAATTATCCAGTGAGCTCTGATGTAATATATTTTGGTATCCACGTCAGCCAACGACTGCAAAATATAAAGTAAATAAATTAATATCATTCCGGTACTGTTAACATGAAACACCAACTACAGTACAAATTATTTGCTGCAGCCAAAAACCTTGCAGTTGTAACGTTTTAAAGGGTTTTATAGAAACATTCCCTTTTTGCTATTTTGTGAACACTTCCTGATTGGACAAAATGATTAACTCATTCATCCCTGAAATTTCATAATGAACTATTCCAACCTTTGCACAGGAAGAGTTCAAATGAGTCTTCAGGTGTGAACGAGTTCAAATGTTTTCATTGGATCTATATAAAATTATAAACAGGTGCTTCCTTCGTATTAAATTCAATATATACTTTTTACAGATTAATCTGAACTCATAATGTATCATTTTGATAAAAAAAACGTTCATGATCGATTTATCCAAATCACAGATCTGATTTTCGATATTTAAATGCAGTCTTTGAATATGACTTCTAACGGGATGGAATTTATGGTGTCAATGCTCTCGTTTTAGTTGTGTATTTTTTTGAACATTAACATTGTGCTTGTCTGCGCTAGTTATCGTTGATATGTACCTATTCATGGTAATTAGCATTTGTAATAAGCTTATCATATTAATTTTCAATGTTATATAACTACTTTAATATCAATATGTACCTGCTCTTTGCAAAATTGATATGCATAGAGTAATAGTAATTAACATTTGAACCACACTTCGTTACTTTGATACGTACCTAACTTAGCAGCAGTATTGATGCGCATCTTATTTCTTATTTTAGTAATTAATGTTGTTACGTATCATAATATACAATATTTATATTGATACAACCTGATAATGATAAGAAATTTCGATACGTAACCGCTCTTGGAAATACAGATTGTAACATACCTTGACTGAGTTATTTATATCAATCCGTATCAGCATTAAGTATTGAATATTAAATACTTTCCGTCATTTAGCAATTAATGCGGATGCGTATGTATTATAGAAGATATTGAGTAGTGATATTGATACGTAACCTGTCTTTAGTAGTTACTATATGGACACGTACCATCTATGAGGAAATAATATGAATACATTCATGCTTTTAATAATTCATATAGGTATTTTCGATATATGCCTGGTTTTAGTAATAACTATCTATGCGTACCAACTCTTAGTAATAACTATCTATACATACTAACTCTTAGTAATAACTATCTATACGTACCAACTCTTAGTGATAACTATCTATACGTACCAACTCTTAGTAATAACTATCTATACG